GGTTTAGCGGGGAAATTTTTCCGCTCGATTTAGCGGGGAATATTTTCCGCTAGATTTAGCGGGGAAATTTTTACGCTAGATTTAGCGGGGAAATTTACCCATAAGTGCACCGCGCGGTTACGCCGACGGCAACGCCGACGCCGCTCAAGCCGGAAACGGGCCCCTAAGAGCTGCGCTCTAAAAAAATAGAAGTAAGCCCACACCGTGAATCGAACCCGGGTCCGCTATGTATGAAGCACACATCGTACCACTAAGGTATACGCTACCGCTTTGGAAACGAGCGTTGCAACCGCTGCCTATATTGGCGGCGGCAGCGCATACCTCCACGAACCATCCAATCCGGTGTGAACGTCGTTGCTGGGGTGTGTATCGCCTGCGCGTTAACAATATGCCACCGCGGGTCGGGGGGCGGTGCTTTTGGTATTCCTTGGGCGCGGCCGGCCAGTGTTTGCCCTGCTCAGTGGCGGCTGTTTCAGGGAGGGGGGGAGGGGGGGGACAAAACACATGCTTTGCCCCCCCCCCCCCCCCCCCCACACACACACTCTGAGAAGTGGGGAAGGGGGGCGGTTGGTACGCCCATGGCTGCTGATTGCACCGCGAACTGGTTAATTTCGTTTCTTTTTGCACAGGGAGATCAGACACTCTTTCGAGAGAGTCGCGGGGGTGAAATCTAGGCTCTTTGGACGCAACGCCATTCCGACTTCTGGTAGATTATTTCGCAACATTATGACACAACTCCATGAAAGAAATGTATAGCATATTTCGTTTTTCTATTGACGATATAAACAATCTACATGCTATTTGCAAATCGCATCGTACGAAAAATCTCGGAACACGGAAATAGCCGAAAAACAAAGCGGTTAAAACGCAAGAAACGACGAAGACTCACAACACCTTATGGCCCATCACCTCAAGGTTTGCGCTCCCTGTGCCCATGAGTTCCCGTCCGCGCGTGTTCTGGGGGCCAACAAAAACCGCTACGGGCGGGAGATCGTGGAGGCGTACGCCATAAAAGAGGCTCCAAACTTCCGAAGAACATTTCGTCGGCCTCGCTGTCGCTGTCGGAGAGAGAGGTGCCATTTCTGAGACTGGATTTGACGACCTTGGCAGGCCGGGCAAGTGGTTCTTGCTCCTGAGGGGGAATCAGGACGCCATCCTCCCTTCCCTTCCTTCCAGCTGTCTCTGCGGTTTACTTTCCCCCTGTTTCCTCCCGGGGCCTTGTCTTGCCCCCCTCCTTCTCCTTCTCCCCCCCCCCCCCCCCCCCTTTAAATTTCCCTCTCCCATGGTAGAGTTCCGAAGGCGAAGCGTCCGGCAATAAATTATTTGTCTGTTGAAAGTTGAAAGATGTGTTGTCCCGTCCCCTGCCCGAAGGAAAAATCCATCAATGTAACCCTGTTTGGCAGTCAATGTTTTCTAGTGGACCGCTGACTGTGCCTCACTGTACGTCAAGCATAAGGCCAACAAGTTACTCTGACCGACAGTCAAACTCCAGTCAGACTCCACTTGTCGGCTTTCGGATGGTTTCCTGGGGACCTATGTTGGACTTTCGAGAAACTAGAAACAGAAGTGACGTAGTGGCAGGTGACGCGTAACCAAGCAACGGCGCACACCGCGAAACCGCCCTCTATGACGCCGTGACGACATGGCAAGATTGGCGTCTGTCACTCACTTGAGAGGCGTCAAGAGCCAACCGCCGAAGAGCGGAAGTAGCTACGCTGTCCCCCTGCCGTACCCACGCTTTCCCGGTGGTACCTAGTCCCTACGCAAGCGTCCGTTTCTCCGGCAACCGGAAAAGCATTTTCTGCTTTTAGTCAAGCGATGGCAGCCAATCCCTTGCGGCGGTGACCTTCACATCGGCTCTTTTTTAAAGAAACTTGTCAAACTAAAAAAATACACGTGTTCTATTGAAATGAACAACTGATTTTGTAGCGGTTCTAGAAAATATTAGATGCAATAAACTCGCATAAAAGGTTAGAAAAACATGCGGGACGCGGATGAGCGCCTAGTTCAAATTACTGGCGCTCATGACTGCTCATGAAACGGGAGGATGTGGCCTCTCTGGTACGCGGCGCAACTGAGCTGAGCCCGGCGCTGTCCAGAGACGACAAAGTTCGTCTCTGGAACGAGCTAACCTCCCGGCTCAACTTCCTCGGGCCTCCAAAGAAGGAGCCGGAAGGTTGGAAACGCTACTTGGCCATGCGGGTGTCTAAGGCGCGGGCGCGGGCTACGGAGCTGGCGAAACAGGCGAGGTAATTTGCGTAGTCTACTCATAGTGTGGACCAAGCTATTGAATTACTTCCTTTACCCGCAGGCAAACAGGGGGCGGAGGCGCCCGGGTGCGCTCACTGGCGTCATCATACTCACGTATTTTGACGCTGGTGGGCGAGGACTCGGCCCTGGGCGCTCCCGGGTTTTCTTTATTTGAAACCAAGAGGCCTGCACTCTAGCCACAACTTGGCACCCGCCTGAAACTGGCCACCGGGTTTGCCATTTTTCTTATATCGTAATAAAGTGGAGATTTGGGCCAGTTCGTTCATTGCAAACAGAAAAAGCGACGAAAAAAACACAGGGACGCGGCCGAAGGGAAACAGGACAAGGTGCACTCTCAACTTAAGTTGAATTTCCAATAAACTTCAGTTGAAAGTGCGTCTTGTCCTGTTTCCTTCGTCTGTGTCCCTGTGTTTTTTGTTTGTTTTCTTATATCATTGTTGATCTCAACATGCCTCTACTATAGAATCTGTCATGCTTCCATGTGCGACAAAACACAAACGAAATGGCAGTGTGCTGAATTAAGTGAAGTGTGAAATAATGTCTGTGATATATCCTGGATAATGGCAAAGAGTTTATACACTGTTCCATGCTCAATTTCACTTTAAAGAAAGTATTGCAACCTGTGTTTTCAAACATGTTTATTTTTCACGTTACGGCATTGTTATAAAAAAAAAGAAAGCACTTTCAAAGACAAACTGCTTGTTGTCTTCTTTATACATTCAAACAGACACAAATCCAATATGCGATTATCGAGTAATACACTTGGCTCTGTGGTAGCCATAATAGATTGTAAAATGGAGCAGGGCAATGGAAGTGTAGAGAAAAAGAATCAATGTCCAAACCCGATACAAACAATATATTGCAGTAAAAGAAGCAAAACAGGTCTCACCAGTAGCCTCATTGAGTTCTCCGTTTCCTACAAGGGCGAGCCAGATGCCCCGTTGGCTAGCTAAATAACCCTACAAAACCTTCTGTTATTGTCCGACGCATCTTATGCACCCTGCTTGCAAATTAAAAAAAGGCTCTAACAACATCACCGTGATGCACCGAATAGCTTTTCGGAGGCAGTTCTACATGTCCGTAAAGGTAACATGGTGGTTGTGCGATGAACTGCGCAAAGCGTTGGAGTTGACACTGTGGAGCTTATGGACGGCCATGACTGTGGAGCAACAACTGAAGCACATGCTGAGGTTGTTGAGGCCTCCGAGGCGTCGTTTTTGGGGGCACCGAGATGTCGCCAAAGAGTTGTTCAATGTTTCATTTCTTTCTTTTTTGTGCTAACTGAACTTGAGTGATTCCATCTTTATTAAGAATAAATATAGACCGACACGCTGTTTACAAACAAGCCCGCCTTTGCCCACACCAGGTGTGGGCACTGCGCATGCGCAGAAACCGAATTTGGGAGGAGTGAAGCGTCTGCGCATGCGCTGTGCCGCCGACAGCGCCACCGCAGTTGCATGACGTCAGAGCCGCGTGTCGGTCTATGAAAAAATTAATGAAAAAAAATATTGACAAATTTTAATGATATTTAAACCGAAAAAGAAATGCGACATTTGTATTCAGTTCAATTTTTTTTTCTTCTTGTAGTGCCGTGGCCGTTGGTGATTGCAGCCGTGTAATCAGCCGCTTGCAGGGCAACTATGGTCGAAAACGGAACCAAAATAAATTACTGGTACCGCTTTAGTGGCACAACTCTCGGCCTGCAGACAACAGCCAGTTCCTTGGTGCAGTGACACACACGCTTCCGCTATGTGGTTTTATGTGCCTCGCTCCGACGCTCTTATTGGGTCGCGGAAGCTGTAAGCTCCACAGTTCGCCAAGTTACTATGAAACAGAGTAGCACACTTGGTCACCGTTCCCCCCTAGTGCCTGCCATGATTGTCCTTAATCACATTTGGCTGTGATCCGCAATTGGCATACGAGTTTAGATTAGATATATCAAAGTATTAGATGTCCTCATTTCATTATTTCATGTGTGTGGTCTTTAGTCTCAATGTCTAATGGGCTGTGCATTTTTTGTATGATTATACATCTTGCCAGTGTGTTTTAGGAGTGCAACAATTATTATGACTATAGCTGCTTTTTACAGTGTCGATCTAAAACTCACTATCTTCCTTATGCAGTTCGGGCTATTGCTGCCTCATAGTTAGTGTGTTGAGTTCGGTCATATTGTGCATCAATTTTTACTTAAATCTGCTATGTGGGAAGTACATGAATAGATAACGTCAATTATCTGCTGTGCATCACAGTTCACATTTATGATTCTAGTAACTTTGTACAGCGTTATCTAGAACTTGCTCTTTGGCTTTAGTTTAGTATGCAGTTTGGGTGATTACTGCCTCGGAGTCTTTGTGTTCAGCTGGGTTATGTCCAGAGTTTCCTTATTTGAAAAACTCTCATGCACCAATCTTTGGTGTTTGAATATATTGCTTGGGAAGTACATGAGTAGCTAGTGTGAATTCTCTGTTGTGCATCAATAGCGAGATTAAAGTTTGAATAAGCCAACGAAGTTTTGGCTACTTCGGGTCTTTTTCCCTGCAAAGTCGATTGTAATGTTAATGACTTTGACACGCTACCTCAACAAATCATGTGTTAATACAAGTTGGAGCTAGAAAATCTTTTTTTTTGTTGTTTTTTACTCTGAACAGTCTAAGAAGGAATTAGCTCTGCTTGTTTATAGGCAAATGGTTTTCTATTTATTGTAATAAACTGTAAAAATGTAAACCACCACACCCTGTGTCCTGTTTTTCTGCAGTAAACACCATTCTCAAAGACACGGGAGTGGCTACAAAAGCACTGCCCCTGACAAGCATATTTATTTGGCTCTGAAAAGAGCCGTTGTGACTTGGAGAAGCCTCGGGCTTCATGCAGGCGCTCCTTCACTCCAGCCTACGCAGCTTCTTTTTCAGTCCGGGACCGTCCTCCACCACATAAAACCCTTTGCAGAACTTCTTGAAGGAGACGTACTGGCCGCGAGCTATCAGGGCTCTTCGACGCCTCACACGGCCCGTTACCACTTCTGGGAAGAGGGCATGCTTGGCGAAGTAGATAAGCCCTGGCAGCAGTGCTCCATCAACGAACTTCTTGTCGAAGGCGATGGTCTCGACGTGCGTCGAATTGGCAACAGTCGTGTTGTTAGTCCAAAAAACAAAATCGCACCACTGGTGTCCGGTCACTGCCATCTGCCCTTGCACCTGGTAGAAGTAGGCGTGAGTCTTCTTCAGTCGTACCACGCCATCCACAACTTCGCAGCAGAACTTCTTGTCCTTGCATGCCTCCATTGGTGTTAGCCCAATCTTCGAAGCCGGACACTTCACCTCCAAAAGGCCCTCTTCGTTGTCCTTCCTCACGATGCGGTCGGGCGATGCTGCAATGAAGCTGCACTCTGGGTGAATGTGCAGCCCAGTCTCGCGGATCTCGACGGGAGTGTCGAATGCTGCCATGAGTGATGCATAGGCTGAGACTGCGGTACCCTCGTGCGTCCTCCCATAGCGCATGGCCTCACTTGAGGCATCTGGGCTCGGGTACAAAATACCCTTGACCAGGTACTCGGGCTTGACACACTTGATGACAGCAGAGAAGACTGATGCCGTAATCCTGCCCTGCCGCTCTTTGTGCCACCTTGAATTATTGGCTTGACCGATGGTGGACCGGGTCACTTGTTCCCTCTCTTCCTCCGTCAATGTTGGAAGGGACTCCATGTGTTTTGCAACAACGTCCCGGGCATTCTCACTCCACAAATCTTCATCATCTTGGATGGGGAGCACTGGTGCCGCTGGTCCAAGTTGCTGTACACCACTGTACAGAAGCCACTGGAGGCCCGGTGTAGACACACTGAGGGCATCTCGCAGTTGCTGAATCTCCTCAGCCGAAGCAACACCAACATTCTCACAAGGGTCAAAAGAGCGTCGTTTCTTCTGCTTCACCGGCCTGTTGATCAGGTACTTGTGGAACGTGATGTCTGCAAGTGGCACCAGGGGAGCAGGCTTCTTGGCTGCAAAGAGAAATTTTGTCAGTTCAGTTCTAAAATAAGCCACATCTAGGTTTTCCATCTTGTAATCATGTTAATAGCTTATCATCCAAGCTGCTTTATGTAGAAAATGTAGAGTTTCACTTTCATGAAAACGAACACAAAAAGCATTGGCTGTTTGGTTCCACATTTATTCTAGCAATGGAGGTGAGCTTGGCTAAATAATTAAGACAGCTTGGACGTTGGTCTTATTCTCCAATATATTAGGTACGAAGTAATAACATATTTCTGAGCAAAAGATTCCTATGGAGCCTCTTTAAGGGCCGTAGTGTACACACCTTCAGCAGGCACAATCCAGGTGCAGGGTATGTCGGTGCAGCTCGTCGAGCAGGCGTTGCAGCTCTCTTCGGCATAGAGCAGCAGTGCTGCAATATGTTGGCAGGACTGGCTTTTCCTGGAAAATCGAGGCAGTCAACCAAGACCAAATTAGCGGGATTATAGCTGCACGCGTAGCAGCTCTTGGTTGCCTTCGTTGTACACAGGCTGTCGGTGCATGATGGAGACATGCATCTTTTACACTACCTAAGCCAAGGAGCAAGCACTGCGAGCATGAGCGATAAACCACATGAGTTTGCTGCTATACTCTTTTTCACCTTGTGTTGTACCGCAGGAAAGGCTATACGCGCGAGCTCCTTGCTCTATGGCACATCTCGGCGGCACAAGCTCCCGTGCACCGAGGGCAACTGCCAACGCTATGAGCTCGCGCTTCTAGCCGTCGCTGCGATACAACATAAGGTGAAACGGAGCATAGCACGATGGGGTTTGTCTTGGCCAATGTAACTCGCGTGTATTCGATGAAATGAACCTGGGCGAACCGGGTATCGCTTTCCAGGTTTCAAGGAGTGACCGATCTCGCTGCTTACGCGTTGGGGATAGCGTGAGCGGAACGCAATTAGCCTTGCTTATAATAGGTTTGCGCATGACTTTTAACGCATGTATAAGCAAAATATCGCTCACCCAGCAACACAGCTGCAAGTGCCGCCGATGACGCTCCCGGTGCCTCTGGCGAACCACGCCGAGACTGTGTACGGCGCCTTCTTCATTGACGGCAGGCAGACGCCCCGGACGAGACCGATCCGGGAATCGTCCGATGTGTTCCATCGGACGTTCCGGACGTAGCCTTCTTCTTTGAAGGCCCATCCCCGGTGAGCTTGTCGGAGCGAGTCCGTCTTGCGGTGAAGGTACCGCCACACTTCATCTTGCGAGAGGTTGGCGAACGGCGGAGCGTTCTCAGTCCAGCCGTCGGGTGGGAACGGGAACGGGATGCTGCCGTCCTCGGCCATCCTCAACAGTTGCCGAAAGGTAGCCGAGCTACGAATACTAGGCGGAAAAGTGGCGTGCAAGAACAGTGGACCTCGCAACGTGTACAATTCAAGCCTAATGGCGGGCGTGTTTTCATACGAAGAACGCCTCGAACCCAGTTTTCGCTAGTTCGGACGTCTCCCAACAGGTAGCGCCACTTCTGCGGAAAAAGGTGGATTGTTCGTCGTCGCTATCTTCCCCCACTTTTCTCTCTCGCCCTCTTCTTGCCGAGTTTCCCGACGCATCGCATGGGGCTCTATGGAGATGCCACTGGCATCTCCTCTGCCTACCTTTCCCCCTCTCTCTCGCGCCGTGCCGGCTTGTTTGTTTGTTTTGTTTCTTTTTTCTTTCTTTTTTTTTTTTTCGGCACGTAAGTGCGGACTGGGCTTGAACGCTTTTTGGACCGTCATCTGGGCCATTCAGGGGTTGGCATCATGAATGTCAATTTCCACAAACCGTTGACAGTATCTACCGGATTTCGTCATTGCCGGGCATTTTTTTTTTTTTTGAGTCAACTCCAAAAGTGCGCAAGTGTGCAGTGAAGCTGTGCTCTGATATAGTGTGTGCTGGCATGCGATTTTCGTTTGGGTACGTCACCAGTGGCAACGAAAGCCAGATCTGTACTTACAGTCACGTGACAAGACTTTGCACCCCGATCTACCGAAAGCGCTAAGGCGCTGGAAGTTGGTGTTATGGATGAACTGTGATGTTGATGCGAATTTTTTGGTTGTGCGCGGGTGAGCATGGGTTACAAAATACAAAGAGAAATTGACGAACCTTAAAACAATCTCGGGTGGTCGCGGAGCAGTATGGATGCTCCTAGGAAAGGATGCAGGCCTGAGGTCACCTGTAGAGGGGATAGTGTAGCGGCGCCCCTGAGGCGCGTGCCAGGGCCCAGGACCCATGGAAGACGACAACGCGCGTGCGAAATGCAAGGATGGCACAATTCGATCCGTTCTAGACGCGATGGGCTTCGCATATTAAACCCGTAACAATATTCTAAACAAGACCAAAATTATAACAAGCATATCTAAAAGGAATGCTATTCCCAACGTGCTTTCATATTATTTTTTTTCTTCCGTGTACATTGAGTTTTGTAAATGCCCTCTTTAGCATCATCGATGTGCAATTAATAGCATTTTGAAATACGCAAATTAATGTATAAATAATTAAACTTCTCAACCTCTCAAATAATAAGTTTTGTTTGCGGCTCTTGAGCACTGTCACCTTGACCACAGTGATTCTGCGGCTGGAGATTGAGCTGGAAAATCTAAAAACGTCGAACAAAACGTGAGTGGTCGACGTTGCCAGCACGTCTTGTATGACGTTTACGACATTTAGGTGTGAACGCGACGTCGCTGAAGCGTCATTGACGGGGCAATAATGTAACGTCACCCTGGACTTTATTTTAACTTTGAAGACACGTGAGTATTCGACGTTGCTAAAACGTCTTGTCTTGACGTCGTGGCGACGATGACGACGTTAAAGTTAAAACGTGACGTCGCCAGCACGTCACGGACAGGACGATAGTGGGACGTCATTTATGAACTTCAGTTCAACGTCAAAGAAACGTGAGCGTTGGACGTTGTGAGAACGTCGTGCATCGACGTCGTGGGAACGTTGACGACGTCCGAGTTGAAATACAACGTCGTCACAACGTCACTGATTGGACTCTAATGGAACGTTGTATATGGACGTCACCTCAACATCGAAAAAACGTGATTGAAGTCATGCGGGACGTCACGGACGTCCAGGACTTTTTCTCGACGTTTCCACGACGTTTTGTGCTGCCTGGGATACGCCCGTGCTACCCAGCAGAAGGGGAACGGCGACAGAACGGCAGTGTTGTAGGCGTTACCGAAAAAAAGTAACGAAATACGTTACTCGTTACTTGCAAATAAAGGGTACGCGTTACTGAGCTACGTTACCTAAAAATAAAACGAACGCGTTACCGCTACCGATAAAAAGTAACGCACGTTACTTCTGATTCTGCGTTACTTTTTTAAATCATGATTTAACATATCTTAGGGTTTTGACGATACAGGTAATATATCAAGTAACATTATGTTCATGCAGAAACTGAACAGAATTACTTTATCTCTTTTTACGGTTTCACCTAAATACTTACGAGAAAAAACGCACAGAAAATCATGGCTTGACGCCTAAAACACGCAAAAAATTGAAGTGTAATTTCTTTAAGACTTAGGAAGTAGTAACGAGTAACGTAACTACGTTACTTGAAATAGTAACACAAGTAGATTACCCGTTACTGTGTCGAAAACGTAACGACTGGGTTACTACGTTACTGAAAAAAGTAACGCGTTACCAACAACGCCGTTACTTGTAACCTGTTACCGCCAAGACTGCAGAACGGACAAAGCGTTACTGCTTGTCATGCCTTGTGGTCATGAGGACAGGGGACTGCAGAACGGACAAAGCGTTACTGCTTGTCATGCCTTGTGGTCATGAGGACAGGGGAAATGTCATACCTTGACTTGAAGACGCTGTGTATATTTAATCAATTAATGAATACACACACTTCCGCGGACCCACAGGCTGCTGATCCCGCCGGCAGTGCGGAAACCAACTCGAAGTAATCGTAGACCTCGAGAGACATGTACGCCTGCACCGTGTCGGGCGTGAACTGGCTTGGCGAAAAAACTAAATAAACGACGACGCGAGCCATCGACGTCGGTGGCAGCAACTTTGCGTCGGAAGTCCAGCAGGTCTTGTTTATACGGCGTACGGATCCTCGTAGTCAACGCCGTCCACGCACAGTTTGTTTCGATACCGCTGCCGTTCAGGCTCGGGCAACGAGCTCAAATAGTCGGGCATAGCATACGACATACGTTGTGAGGAAATACGACGCACAAATAAAGATACAAGCGTCGCTACAACGTCAACAACGAGCGCACGCCATAGAGCGCAATGGCGAAAACACGGAGAGCCGGGCTGCTTTTGCCCACATAGCTACCGCGCATGCGCGGCCTTCCGGCCGTGTTGGTAAACAGAGCCGCTCCGCGTGTCGGTCTATAACAGCTGTTAGTATATGACTGTAGCGCCTCAACCACAAACGACTCCACTAGATTGTCGAACCGTTCTTGAGAAACGGGAACTTGATGCATACGGTCGATATTCATATCCTTCAGCAAGGGGTGGTCGGTACAACAGGTTGTAGTGTCGGGACAATAGGTTGTAGTCTCGGAAGATAAGGTAGCGTCTCCGTTAGCAGACGCAAGTGTTGCCACCACTCTGTGAGGGCCGTCTAGCAACATTAAGGGATTCTACTCTGGAGCCACCGCTGCCTCTTCAGTCTTGCTGTCTTGTTGTTCAGGACTGGAGCTATGAACCGGCAGAAGTAGACACCTAAGGTTGTTCCTCAGCTAGAAAACACTACAATTTATTAATCTTATACATGATGTGTCTCTTTAACAATCGACCAAGGCAGTAAGTACAGAATGACGAAAGAAAGAAGATTCACAAAACAGACATCGAAATCTAAACAACTTCTAAGAAGAAGAGCTGGGACGACTGACACCCGAAGATGCAAATGCAGCTGTACTGCGTTCACCCTCATTAATCTGAGACCTAATGGGTCGCATCTTCATACGCCTGAGCCCCAAACCAAGTTTTAATACTCATTGTGTTTTCGGAATACGGCGTGTCAAATTCACGAGAACAGAATTTCAATCACAGCATAGTATAGCAGGGGTTGAAGTGGACGATACATCTCGTGTACTGATTCTCTAAATTGGCTCTGAATATTACCTGGTTGGGGTGATATGTGCATACTCATCTCATTCAAATGTAAATCTTAATTGTATTCTTTCATTCCTCATTTGCGATGCTTGCTTTGTTTTTGTTCTGATTTTTTAATTTCGCACCCAGTTTCAGTTTGCTGAATATATGTAGTTAAAGGTATAAACAAGTATTGTCGCTTTCCGTTCCTTCATGTTTATTAACCGTCGTCTTTCTAAACCTTGCAGATCGAATTCGGCAGGAACTTGGACGCAGATGTGAACGACACTTCGCAGCTTTGGAAAGGTGGCCTGTCACCAGCCGAGTCCCCCTTCGGTGGTGCAACGTCTTTGTGCTACATTTTTTCTTTACACGTATGCGACAGAGTCAGATCTAATGAAATGGCTACAGTTGAGCCTGCTGCGTGTAAACTTTCCATTGTCTGCCTTACCTCACTTTGCCTATTTACCGCCCTCACCCCCCCCCCCCCCCCCCCACCGGGGCCCCTCCCACCCCTTTCAAAGCCTTTCATACATTTATTGATTGAAACTGCATAATCCCTCAAAGTATGCCTTAATGCGGACAAACTAAATAGTGTGTCTTACTTTTGGTTTATTATGTAGAATTTCTGAAAGTGGTGTCTTATTTCTAAAACGGTGAAACAACGTGCACTCTCTGCGTGTTTGCTTTATTGTTTGCTCAAGTAAAGGCAGGTATACTAATTTCTTATTGTCATGCTTACAACCGCAGATGCTTAAAACACTGGCGACTACTTATGACCTGCAGCGCAGCGGCCGGTCATCAGCAGTCACAAGATGGTTCACAAGCTCCTCCGGTCGTAAGCAGTGACAAGTGTGTCCACTGCCAAAATTCGTTCCTTTATGACAGTACTCTCATATTGGGTCTTAAGAAAAATATCTGCAGATCTGTTCAAAGCACACACGTATGGGTGCTTTGAACACGTCAGCAGACAGTTTTGGTAGGCCCAATGTGAGATGACACGAGAAAGAAACGCTCCTGAGATGGTATGTGCAGACTGCTTTCTGCTTGCTGTACGAGCAGTCTTACCGGGACTTTACGGAGCGAGTCAAGAAAACGTCGGAAGATGATTAGTCTGCTAACGTAAGTGAACAATAGAATTCGTCTGCTACGAAGCGGCATTCGCAGACAAAAATAGAACAAGAAAATACTTTCACGTATACTGTTAACGGACCGGAATAAAGGCAGCCGTCTGCTAAAAGCCGAGTGCCGCGAGGAAGTGATACGGGACGCAAGCTGAAACTGAAATGGTCTGCTATACTTCCCGCTCGATGGGATCGACAACATGCGCTCCCTCTGCACATTTCCAGCTCTCCTGCCCTATTTAGGTCAAGTTCTCCTATGTATGCAGCAC